GCCTACTGAACGACACACTGTGCCAGGCTGCTAAAAAACAGGTGACGTTTTAGTTGCAATCAAGGTCCTTCATGGACGCCATTTTATTCTTACAAAACCAGATCTATTTTTTTAGAACCTGTATTTTTTGTCTTTTATTGTATTCCATGAAATTCCCCATCCCAAACTTAACCTAAATACTAATTTTAACAAACACTTTCACAGCTTTTATTATGTGATATTTATGGAGCTTGGTACAGAAATGCTATGACTTCTGCCAAATTCCTGCAGATGCAGTTTTCTAGATTGGAGCAACTCCCACCAATAACTAGGCTACTTTTTTTCTTGGGGTGTCAGTTTTGTTGGTGGCAGGACGGTGCAGATTTCAGCAGGACTGCCTCACAATGCTTGAATCATGAGTTTGATTACAGCCTGGTATGTCTTCTGTGTGGAGTTTGCGTGCTCTCCCTCCCTAGTCAAAATGTACCCATGAATTCCTTCCTGATTGTTTCTGTCACACTTTGTAGAAAACTGAAGTCTAGTGAGTGATTTGCGAGATCAGTTTGCAGGAGTTATATTGGAATATGAAGTTTACTGCTTTGGGGGTTTGTAAACGTTGAAAAGCAAATGCCAGGACAGAGGGAGAATGAAGCTCAGTTGTGTAGCTCTGGGAAACAAGGTCAGCCAGGCTATAAATAAAGGCCTCATGTCAGAGGTTTGTCATACTGGCACAGACATGGACACCTCATTACAGCCCAGGACAGGTCTCAAGGTCTCACAGCTGACAGACCTGCAGGACCAGAGGCAGCTGTGATTTATTGTGATTTATCCTTTTTCATATGTTTTTCCCCTCTATTTATATTCTTTCCCATTCTGTGTTTCTGGCTGTTTTGGCAAATAGAATAAACATGGTCAAAAGCACAAACAGACATGCTGTACTGATCAGTTAAGGACTGATGTTCTCTCTCCTGTCCTTGGAAGGGAACTCTCTTTCAAACCCCCTGCTCTCTGAGACGATTTTGTGCTCGCACTGCGATGCCTGAATTTCATACAATGGCTTTAAGTGAGAAGTGAAAAACTGCAGTTATTCACCTAAGGTTTGTGCCTTGCAGAGCATTTATTAGAGTTAGCATTGTTGTTCTGTCACCAATGTAAGGCAACAACAGTGATACTGTGACTGGTTTCCTGACAGTAGGACAACAGCTGTGATACTGTGACTGGTTTCCTGACAGTAGGACAACAGCTGTGATACTGTGACTGGTTTCCTGACAGTAGGACTACCTGATGGTAGGGCTGAAACAGTGATACTGTGTCTTTCTTGTGTTCTTATGATAGGGCAACAGTTGTGATACTGTAATTTCTGTTGTGCTGTCTGCATGAGTGTCTGCATGTTGTCTTTTTTTGTTCTCATTGATAAGTTGTAAGGGCTGTGAGACAAGGTGACTTGTGCAGTAGGGCACAGTGACCCTCAGGCTGCTCTGGATCCAGTGAAGTCAACAGTATGCTTATAAAGCACTTAAGGGACAGCAGTTAACCCTTTAGCAGTCCTCCTCTGGCACAGATCACACTGCATTTAGAAAAGCTGCTCCAGGGAGGAGACTGTGTCGGCGGTTCCCTCTGTTTGATAACCAGAAAAGAAAATGCTGACCAGGCTTCTCTCAATAACAAGCAATGCACCAGATCATTACCACATTTATAGGAGATACCCTGAGTGTTCTGTTTTAATATTTTACCATTAGATAGTGTAGATAGATACGACTTTATTGACCCTGAAGGGAAATTGATGATTGCCATTGTAGTTAAATATTTAAATATATTTATTTTACACACATTGCTGTGAAACTCTTTCATGTTTTGCAACCTTTTACTCAGGGGCTTGGGGTTACAATTCTATGGTAATTAATGTCTGTTTAATCCAGAAATATTAGCTGTTAACCGTGACAGATCTGAATTTTGTAGTGCAAAGTGTAGCCCGTTAGCCATTGTGTAGCCCGTTAGCCATTGTATATTTAACAGATGATATTAATGACAGTGAGTCAGTTAGATTTGATTGATAGCTGTAATGGATTAAGAGACACAACACTTCATATTGGTTGTTCATGTATAGAGGTTTGCTCATGTGGTCAAGTTTGTCATGATTCTCAATAGTGTGAATTAAAGATGCTTAATGACAATATTGATTACTTCTCACTCAGCCTAAACTGTATTATAAAAAGCCACAGATGATCCAACAATAGAAAGTACTAATGGAGTCTTTAAGTAAATTGTTGCTCCGCACATGGAAATTCCTGATATTGTACAAGATGTCAAATACTTTTCCAGACAATTGTGTTTCAATTTGATTAAATTACTTTAGGGTTTTTTAATGAAAAGTGGTTAAAACTCTTTAAAAGAGGTGAAAATAAATGAGTCTGTAAGCTCCACTAGATCAGTGTGACACAAGTGTTTTGACACACAAAACACAAAGTGAATCACAGGACTAGAGTGACTGAGAGATCTAGCCTACGGCTGTTTGGCTGTGTAATGCTCTTCTGAAACAGCCAATGGAATGAGAGTCCTGCAGGAAGCCAGGCTCAGACTCAATGTCACTGCACTTGCTGCTAGTAATACAGGAAGTGCCTATAAGAGGTTCCAAGCCTGTATAAGAGAAATGAAATATTCTGCCCTGGAGTAGCACAGACAACAGAAAGAGAATGGAAATGTGTCCTATTTCCTGACCAAGGTAAATAGCGTGTACTTGGTTTTCAAGCAAAATAGCAAGTGATGTTTCCCTTCTGATTTAGTTCAGGCTTAAAGTTTTTGTTGGTTATATTCCTGAAGTAGAAGGTTAAGGGTAAAATACCCAATCATTAAATTATTCAGACTGCTAAATGTCATGTCGGTGCAGCTGTATATCCTTTGAATTATGGAAGATAAGTCACAGTAAAGTTGTTTCAGAATCTCTCCTCACTTCAAAGGGCTTTCTGAGGAAATAACTGTCTTTTTTTCAAAAAATATTTAAAATATGATTACCTTTCTTTAAAACAGCTCTGCTCTGAAGGAACTGAAAAAATAAATAAATAAAAGGTCTCAGAAGCCACTCCAGCAGTGAAGTTATATTTAAAAAAAGAATTGCCTTTTATTGTTTTTTTCAGTATGCTGCTGTATTATTGCAAATCAATAAAATGGAAGTGGTATTATATTTGGATGTGAGCTGTGCAGAAATAGGCTTTTTTTTTGTAGATCCCTTCATTGGTCTGACTCTGGGGTCAAACTCATATTGTTGTGTAATGTAATCCCTCCTCTGGGTATGATTGTGAACACGAGCAGGTTACTGCCGTATGTGTTTGAGCAATGCAGAGATACCAATACAGAATGACGTCCTCTGTCCCCCACACTGTACGGAATTTTGCTCCTTGGGCAGAAAGTAAGGGATAATTATATGAACAAAAAAATGTATTATGAAAAGAAGGTATTGGACCAGCCCTGGGCACAAATGCAGTGTGGATTTGAAAAGCATACTATGTAATGCATTTAAGCAGTAAACAATACTGAACATGAACTAATAAACACATTCTGGTAAAGCTATCCCAGTCCATTAACCTATAAGAGGCAGGCCAATGTACCAATGTGAATTCAGCTCTAGGCAGAACTAAACTGGACTGAATCAACACACCAGGTGAAGAGCCATGCTGCTCTGTACTGGGTTTGTTTCATCTAGACAAACCTGTGGGCTCACAGGCTATTGGCATGCCTTCATACACCACCTCCGCAACAACCTCAACACTTCTTTTTTTGAGGTCCTGTGTTGCAATTCCTGATCACTACTGCAAGAAATGTTAAAAATAAATAGATGGAGAAATAACAAAAAAACAGCAAAAATAAATAGCAGCATTTACACTGTATTGTAAGTGATACAAATGACAACAATATTTTAAAAATTACTGTTTGTATCTTTCTTTGTGTAGTGTACTGTATATACACACGTATTCTCCTTTTCTATAGACATATGTACACTACAGTGAGCGTCTACATTACAGTTACACTCATTCACAGTGACAAGTAATTAATTTCAGTCACAGTTACCAGCCACTGGAAAACTAGGGTGACAAATGTAATTAGAAGTTGTAACTTAGCAGTATGGTTGTTAAACACATACTTCGGAATATGCAATACTGTATGTGTGTTTCGCAGACAGTACTGTGGGATCAGGCCAAACAATAAGGAAAGAAAACAACATCCTTTATCTGTTGTTAATACCAGCAATGTCACAGCACACAGCCTAACAACCAGAGGCATATTTTCTTAAATTAATAAAGGGACGTTTGGAGCCCTGCTGTGCAAATCACATTTGATGTGTCTGACATTTTGAGGACTTATTGTATTCACCGTGATCTGAGCGAGCTGGCTGAGTTAGGGAACGGTGTGCTGTTCTAAGCAGAAGCTGGGAGAAGGTGTTTGTGCACAGCATGAATGGCAGCCTTGTCAAACAACATGACTTACCAAAACAGCTACGGTAATTGAATCATGGCAGAGCTAAAGGTGAGAGCAACCTTCCTCCTTCCCTCATGTGACAACTATTAATAAACAGGACAAATGGAATCCGACATCTCAGCTGCCGTTTCTCTAGGGCCTAGAATTTGAACAGAGCACTCTCTGATTTTGGAGATCTCTCAGGGCAGTACTGACTTTTCAATGAGAAAATGCACTGGGTCTTGATCCTGGGGTCCTGGACAGTTCCCAGGGTGTGCCCTCAGAAGAGCCTGTGTAAAAACCAAAAACAAAATGTCACTGTAATTGTGTCTTAACATTGTGTCTCTACCGTACAGTCCAAAGAGGTTACTTTTTGATGCAAAGTCCACTGTGCCTTGCAAGGCACAGATAGATGTTACGGCTGTAGCTGGTCTTAATTAACCCCTCATTATCCAGATTCCCTTACACACCCCTCCCTTCACTATTTAAACCCTCAGTTCACCCGGTAACACGACTCTGTATTAGGATCTCTTCCGCCTCCTGAGCTCACCTCGCCCTTTCTTCCTTAGTACCTATTCTTCCTCGTCTGGACTCCCTCAACGTCGACTCTTTGGTTTTTGGATTTCTCACTGTTGCCTCGCCCTTATCGGATTTGTTTGCCTCTCTTCTTGCGTACTACCTGGACTTGACCCAGCCTGGAATAGCTGACCACTCTACCTCGTCGCCTGCCTTGGATACCTCAGCTACCGGACCTCGCCTGGAGACCTGCACAGGGTTCGTAAAATCATATACAGTAGTTCTCACAATAGACCTAGCTTCCATTACTGGGCTTAACTTTCAGAGCTGATTCCGCTGACATTTCTAAGAATTTCTGTACAGTGTTTTTTCATTTCAATTCTGTTATGCAAATACAGCCGCCATGTACCCTGTTGTATTAAATTAGTGGTTTAACTGATCTTGTTTATAGCACAGTCCTTTATAACACTATGCACTGTTTCTTTTCACAGTCATCTTGTGCATTGGACACAGACACCATCCTGAAGTCATAATACCACTATCCATGATTTCTACCTAGCATGCTAAACAGCATGTGGTGTTGGTGGTCGTGAACATAAAGTCTGCCACAGCCCTCTGTGGTGGGACTGCTGAATGCCAAATGGACACCAGCAACTGGTGGATGAAGTGAAGCCTTCTCTGCATGTAATGTACTTTCATTTTCAGCTCTTCTAAGAAGGAATTTGTCATAAGAAGATTATTATTGATCCTTGAAACAGATTTATTATTATTATCATCATCAATATTGCCGCTGCGATTGCACTAGCAGCATCCCGTTCTACCGGGCTGTCTGTCTGAGTTCCACCCTGCAAGGCTCCACACTGATGGCTGCTGTGTGTTTTATTTAACAGATCTTATCTGCTTTTTAAAAAAAAAAAATATTTGATGGCATCTCTTTGCCTGGGAGCTTCCTCCCTGGCTGCGAGGGGTCTTGTTTTTTTTCCCTGGGGAGTTTCGCGAAGCCCAGCGGCATTCCGAACGCAGCCAGGAGTGGAGTGGCCGGACCTGTTAACCCTTTCAGCGCCACGGCTCCTCCTGCTGCCTCTTTGCATCTGCGCGGCCGCTAACTCGGCAGCTGCTGTTGTTACTGCTGCTAATAATAGCGGCTCTACAGATAAATAGCAGCCAGCATATTTAGAAATCTAATGTTCCAAGAGTAAGAAGAAGTGGGAGTTTGAACAAGCTGCCCAGATATGTTGCTGAAGCTTCAGGAAACAGCTGGATGTATCAATTAACCACTAGCACACAAACACATTCCATTTCATTTTTGAGAATGTCATACTAATCGTAACAACCTGTTCTGCACCTTTGCACATTTGAAACCTATGAATAATATATTTGCCGTAATTCATAATAGTCTCCAGCAGTTTGTCTCTCCTGGCAGCTCTCAAGAATGCGTTTAAAGATCAAAAGGCACATTTGACAGGACCTTTGCTTCATTTGTTCTGTAAACAGAAAAGAAGACACGAAAGACAGAGTACAGGGGTGGCAGGCTGGGGTTACAGGCAGGCATCCGGCTTGTAAAGAATTAACCATTTAATTTTGCGCAGGAATTTGAATGAAAAAGGAGGAGACTTCTGGCAGACTTCCTTGCTTATAGTGTTTGCTGCATGTTGAGACAGTAGATAAAAACACATGAATAATGAGGAAATCTTTAGACTTTAAGATCAACAATGAAATAAGACACAGGGTCACAGGTGGAAATTAAGAGCACACACTACCCAGAGAAGAGGTTCACACAGGCTCACTGGGATGCTTCAAGGAGCACCTCAGTGAGATTTTGAGCTTGGGCTCAGCTAGCTAGTAGTGGTCAAATTAAGATGTGCCAAAAAGTGTCCTATCTTTTCTACTATCTGCCTCTCTTCTGAGTTTTTTGGGGATTATTTGCTATCACAGAGGTTTATCAAATCTTTGTGGTTATTAGCAAGATACAGTATGTGGCATGCCCTCTGCAGCCAGAGGGTGCTCCTTCTCTGTCCTGTCCCTAGTTTTCCGGTCTGATGTCCTTCCGGTCCCTCTCTTTCCCTTGGGCTATATATTTCCGGGTCTTGCACTCTGTCCTCGCTCAGCATTGACGTTCGGATGTCCTGAGACTCGCCTAGCACCAGGGCGCCCCACGTCCGGTCCTTGAGGGCATAGGTTTCTATACGGCACTCCTGAACTCTTTGCACTATGAGCCCAGGCCTTTTCCCCCTCTCGCCGCTACGCATATGGGTCTTTTTCCACTCTCCTGCTCCCCACGGTTAGTCCCTTTGGACGTCCGTGACAATATGTACTGTATGTTGGCAGCACAGTAGAGAATTTGGTAGTAAATTAAATTAATATTCATCCACTGTTCATTTTTTTCTTTCCCTGTTTAAGGTACCCGAGGATCCTGGTGTTTGTGATCCAAGCCAATGTGTGGCTCCCTAACTTGCTTCACTTTCAGCTTGATGGCATCAACAGTTCTGATACAGTAGGGACCTACCTCAGCACCCCCCTGTACCTGAGTCACCTCTTTACTATTTTTAGAGTTACACCCTGGACATTCAATAGTTCCCTGTCCCTGGCATCCAACAGCCCCCTTGTGAAATTCTCTCCACAACCTAGTAGAAACAGATCAAGCTAAGGTTTCAAGGTCGAGGTTAGACATGGCTGCCAGTAGTTTCACACTCACAGCCCTGTAGAGGAATTCAAAGGGGCAGGCACTGCAGGAGACCCTCTTATGGCTACAATCAGCTTAGTCAGCAGGATAGCTAACCAGAAAGAGCTTTTCCTCCAGCCATCCTCGACTGCAAGACACACTGAATCACAGACTGCATTGGGCATTATCTCTACAGCGCTGACGTTTCATATAAGATAAGTCACCAACAAATCATGTATCAGCTAGGTTTTTGTTCAAGGGCTAGGCCTGGCCATCCAGCTTCCACCCCCTGTGACACAATCCCTGAGGAAGCCCAGAGGGCAATGAGGCAGAGGAGTGGACAAACTGTAGGTTAAGGGTCAGGTCAATGGGAGAAACACTGAAATCAGGAGTGCAAAATCCTATAAAGTGAAAGGAGACCTGATAGACTCCAGGCATACAAAGGTTAAGAGAGCCATTTATCAGCACCAGCAGGAGGGAGAAGAGTTATCTTCATTTGACATGGCACATCAACTGGTACTTTCATGCAAAGGAATTGGAGGCACTCCAAAATGGAGTAATTTCCCAGAACTCTTCCTTGTGTCCACACGGAGAGAACATCCACCAGTAAGGCAGGAATGCTGAGTGGTTCTGCCTTTAGAACCACTAGTTTATCGCCAGGTACAGAGTAGGAGATCAAGGCCCTCAGGACAGAAACTCCTGGTCTTTTTCATGTTAGTAACCTAGCAACCAGTTTTGGGGAGGACTACACTCAAGTGGCCCATCATGTGAACTGCTAGTTCAAAGACCGTGGAGCCTGGGAGATAGAAATAGAGGACCAGGGGGCAGAATTTGATTAATAAATTCACAAGTTCCAAGCAAAGAATGTCTCCTTTCTCGAGTACCCCCCCCCCAGCCCAGCATCACCATAACTGACATCCTGGTAGAAGTTCCTGGCCAGACACTTTAGCCCAGGTTTTTGCCTGTTGGAGCTTGGTCAGACAGATGGGTGAGTCTTTTCTGCATTTTTGATTTTAATATATGGGACATGTTGTGCAATGGAAAATAGAAACGCAGTACAGAAAAAAGAGGAGCTATATTTTATCTCATCTGAGAAAGGTAAATTTAAATTCCAAGGGATTTATAATAATCTTTTCCCTATTTCAATTTAAGCCACTTTAAGTCTGCCATTTGATTCCTGTGAACAATCTGTTGGTAGAGGTGGCTGAGATTAGCTCACGTTATTAATGATTTCACTGTGTGGCAGAACTTGGCTATGAATACAGTGTGCTTGCATTTATTCATATCCGGCAATGCATTTTGAATGCATGGGACAATGGTCCTCAACACAGACGTCCGATTCCTCAGCAGCCCTGGTTTTAGTTTTATTAATGGAAAGAACAGATGTCAGAAATTTAAGCCATCAGGCTTCGGATATATCTGGAATGAAATGTCCCAGTAAATCATTTCTGTGCTGTAGCCGTCTGGACATCAGCCAAGAAGCAACTAGTTAATGACCTCTGGATTTAAACAGTGAAATCTGTTACTGTGATCGCTTCAGATCAGATTTAGCAAGAGCATGCTTGCTTGAGTTCCATGCTTCTGGAGGTTTAATTAACAAACCTGAACATGTATACATGTAGAATAGTACTAGAAACAAAGACTGGGCAAGAAACAGTGTGTGTCTGGCTCTGGTATAATGCCCCACGGCTTTAACAAAAAAAAAAGTCATTTGTAAATCTTTCTGAATAATTTAAGCTCCATGTAAAGAGAATGCACTCTAGGCAGACACGATTTAACAAACCCCAAGGGTTTCTTGTGGTTATGAAGAATTTTAAGAACTCGATTTAACAATGAGTGCAAGACCAGAGATTTGTTTTCTGATAAGAATAAAAGTTATTTTTTTAATGAGATACACTATGTAATGAAATACACCACACACAGTAGCGTTCAGGACATAACTTTGGTCTAAGTGCAAGGAATATTCCCAGCTGGCCAATGACCTCTAATATAGAGTGAAGATTATAACCACGTCCCTTTATGAATATTTTCTTTCGAGTCCTTTTCTGTTGGCTGCTTTCGGAACAGAGCCCAGTGCGGTGGTTAAAATAATTCTTTTCACATAGTTTTTAGTCTTTTTCAGGCCGCTGATCCTACCACATTTAATTAATTATGGCAGAAAGCCCAGCTAAGATACATATTGCCAGGTTGGTAGTAAGCTATGTAGTCTGTTGTTCAAGCTGTGTGCGTTGTATTGTGCTTTTCAGTGCAGTTGCCAAGGCTGTGGTCTTTCCATTACAAACTGACAGTTTCTTCATGATCCTAATACTTCTTCCAGGAGCACAAATTGGCACAATTTCTAATATTGACCCTTTTTTATCTTCTCCTTCTCTGCTTTTCTGCCCTGAGCAAAACAAAAATTCCATCTTCGCTCACATTTGCTTGTTCACAGCCTGGGGGGGGGTAGTAACAGCAGCCTTCTCTGCCTCGTCAGGTGGCATGGAAGGGACAGGCCAGAGGACAGAGCGCTGGTCAGCCCCCGGGATCACCAAGGTAACAGTTGGCATTGAGGCGCTGAACGGCCATCTCATTCAACACCCAGAATGCCAAGCTGCGGCATTACAGGTACCCAGACACACACAGGGCCTAATCTGAGCCAAGCAGACATACAAAAAGATTTCTGTTACATGCTACAGTATTTATAGATTTTCTGTTACATTGCCTGCTTTGAATGATTTAACCTGAAGAACAGCTTTTGGTGAAAGCCAGGTGTACTTAACCAAAAAGGAAGTATCCAAAGTTGGAGTCTTAGTAAGCGCAAGTGGAGTAGCTTCAGGGATCAAACAGCAGACAGGTAGCTAGGAAACACTAAGGTAAGGCGTTCCAGTGGGAAACCCAATACTGAGCACGGAGGTGGTGGGCAAGAGCCTTTAAGTACTCTGATGCGGTGGTGACCGATTGGATGATTAATTAATGAGTCTGCGTTTGTGGGAATTAGAGGAGGCTTGTGTCTGATTGTCTGTGGCTGTGACACAGTGCCTTCAAGATCTGGCTCCAGATATGGCTTTGCTCAGGAAGATCTATTACATTTTTTAATACAGAAATAATATTCAATCTTTCTGATATTTGATGTTTGTTATTCCTGTTTCATCGGGGGCATGAGGGCACTTTATACCGCTCTTTAAATGTTCAAAAATTTCAAATAAAAATACATCTATCTAATCAATATCAATAGTCCCATTTTACAAGCAATAAAAATTATTTTTCTGTTCAATAGTGGTTTTCATGACATACACATTCAACTAAACCATTCATGCAGTTTTATCTAAAATATACTGTATATTTACTGTATATTTTGCATTTTAATTGACCTGAGTGCTTGACATTTCTCCAGGAAGGCCAAGATTCCATGGGATATTTATTTCTCAAATGCAATGCCGCTCACATTCAGAGAGTCCTTTCTCAGGTAGTCCCTGCTGTGTCCTTGCTTTGTAAAACACTTGTCTTTAAATGTAGGCGAAGGTTGTAGCCCTAGTGTTAGGCCAAAGCCGTTGCCATAGAGACTGCCAAAGGCTTCAAGATGCCATTATGGAGGCCTTGGCTCTGATTGGCCACGCTGGCCCTGTCAGAGGTCAAGGAATAAGAGTTCTGTCTATTGATAGGAGCTGCACAAAGTACTGAGAGTTTTTAGTTTGATGTAGAAAATCAAGTTATGCTTTCTGAAAAAAAAAACACAGGGCTCTGCTGCAGTTTTACCAGGCACTGAATTATTTAACATGGTTTGTCTTGATCCTAAATTTGTGTCCAGTCAGATTTAGGTTCTTCAGATATTATTGTCTTTTGCTCTCAGAATTCATTAACAAGCGCTTACCCACTAGGGAAAGAAACAGAGAACAAATATGAAAAATATTTTATTTGTTGCTCTTATTCTTTATTGCCTGAAATAGAAACTTTTTTTTTCTTTTCTCAGTGGTGTATGTGTAATTTTCTTTCGGTTGAATAAATGAGTGGAAATCCAAAATTAGTGTCCATATAGAATTCTTTCAAATTGATCTACCCCAGGTAGCATGGAATCTGGATTACCTGTATATTTGGAATATTTCTCCATGACAGGTATAAAAATAAAGAAATACTCAGTAAAACAGTGTTACAGACACCTGGCAGAAAAAGACAGATGTTGGAAAAATTTGTCAGGTGGAATTGCTGTTCCACTGATTATATGTTTCCCCACAGCTAAGAGATGAAAGATGAGGTAAACAAAGGAGAAAAAGCCTGTTGAAACATCATTCATTCTGGGAACCTGTCATTTAAACACAGCTAAATAAGCTGCACTGACATGGTGTTTTAGACATTGAGCATTGAGCTGCCTTGTCACTTACAGCTTACTGACATCTTGGATCGTTTTTACTTTACATTTTTCTGAAAAACGCCCAACATACAATCTGCACATAACAGAAATGCCTGTCTGTAACACATCCTTCATTTACTTTTTCCATTGCACATTTTTTCTGGTCATTTTTCTAATGATAAACCCAATATTTCTCTTGCACTGAACTATATAAACCATATACTAGTTTTATCTAATGGTATTTTTCTCTTTAGAGTTGCTTAAAAAACAAATTCAAGACAAATCTATTTAAAAGGTAAAACACAGTACATTGACCACATTCCACAGAAACCTGTTTTAAATCTAGCTTTGATTTAACAGTCTGATGTGACCTTTAGTGGCTGATAATACTACATTCTTTGCTATTTGTTTCCTCAACACCTTGTCTTCCTGAAACCACCCACACTGAACTAAAACACTTGGCAGGTCTGTAGATGCCATGCACATTTCTCTCCAATGCAGCGGACTGGTGCCACAGGCAGGCCCTGAGAGGAAAAGCTCACTACATCTGTGGTGCCAGCATAGGTGAGAGCCGGAGAGGTGTCCAAGCACTGGGGACCAGTGGCATCTAGTCAGGGGAATAAAGATGTCCTTGTCCGGTCCAGGTTCTAAAATTGAACACCCTGTTCTTGGGACTCAAATCCTTTGCAAAACAAGCAGGCAGGATGTGCCAAGTACAGATCCACAATGAATGCAATGAAGGTTTTGCCAGCTATGCCAGACCATAAGGGCTTTATCCCAGGGCGTTCCATCATTTTGACTTGAGGTACTTCAATGTATCTGCCATGAAATTGAGCCTGCACTGCTGTTCTGCAGCGCCATCCAGTCGAGAGTTTGTAAGGCAGAGAGAAGTGTATTGCCTTTCAGTCACACACATCTGTGCTATCAATTCTCATGCACCAGAACTCAAAATACTTAACTTACTTGCAGTCGGGGGGTGAAGAGCCCTTTATAATTTCTCTGTTTCTTCTGTTTTTCACACTAACATACCCAAATTCAGCAGTTGCAACCCTGACATAATGACATAACCCTGACAGGAAAAGATAACATGGGAGTGTGGCGTTCCAGCTGCAGACATATCATAATTGGTGTGAATCCCTAGAATCTTTCAAGAGATAGGCAGATCAAATTCTCCGATCTATTCTCCAAACTACTCTTAGCAAATAAAACTAAGCGGGATGGCTTCCTGGTGTTTGTGTCCTTTAGAACCAAGGCCCTACTCGAATCGGAAGCTCGACCTGTTCACCAGTCACGAATGAAAAACCTGGGATTTCATGACTGTTTCTGTTTCCGTGAGTCTTCTTCCTCCCAGCTATGGAAAACCTGCTATCAAGGTCTGTTGACCTTGCCCATCACTGTCTGAACAATTAGTTTCTAAAAGATCACAATCCTCTGGCCTCTCTTAGACAACAATATAAACAGTGTATATGCAAAGGACATATACACCCAGTGAACTTCATAGATGTATACAATATACAATGTACAAAAAACAATGTAGTACACTACAAAAGCATAAGATTCGAGTGGATTTGGTATACAAATGTGCTATAATAAGAAGGGCTGATTAGAGAGAAATCAAAAATGTTCTTAAGTTTTTAAGGCCATATCTTTAAAATGAATGAAAAGGAGTAAGTTGGTCATGGCTTATTTAAAGGTCTCTTTCCCTGTTCTGAAAAGAAAGGGTTGATGCAGATTTAGTTTTTAGTTTTGAGCACTGTAACGTTATCTCGCCGCCTTCTGAAGAGTTGGTGGCCTCCTCTCCGTTTCTCCGAGTCACAGAGAAACCCGGCACAAAGCCCAGGCAGTGAGGAAGCTTTTAAATTCAGCCACAAAGCAAGGCAGAAATGCAGTACAAACAGATGCTGTCACAAGCTAGAGGACAGAGCCTTTCTCTGAAACATGTACCAGGTTAAAAGTAAACAAAATCAATTCAAATTAAAAATGAGAAAAAACTGGATGACTCATTAAAGGCTTGCTGGAAAAGAAGGAGTAGCGCAACTGAAAGATAATTATCTCAGCACAATAAATTGGAAAAAAGGAAGAGACTCATATAATTATATTATAATCTTGACACCTTGTCATTTTTTTCCTTTTGGATTTCCCCCTGCTGAGCAATTAAAACATATATAATCAAGGCTTCATTTGATTTGTCTAGGAAATTATTTATTTTATAAAAGCTTGACACTGGAAGCACAAAGCCAATGTTCTATTTCAAAGCAAAGTGCTGCCAGTACAGCACCGTTGTGAAAAGGAAAGAATTTAATTCTGAGAACAGCTTTCTGTATTATAAACAGATTTTTTCTGTTTTGCTTTAGAATTGGCCATTTTCTTCCAAATTTCCAAATTGGGAATTTTCTAAATGTTAATCATTTGTTATCAACCTCATACCTGCGTGGAGAAATGAAGACAGGGTGCTCTTTTTCCGAATTGAACAGTCATGTCGACACCTGGTCTGCACACTGAGCCCCATAGTGCCCTCAGCTGAGTCAGCATCCATTGGAGGAGTGATGCAACAGTTCAACTCACAGGCAGCTGGCAAGTTGCAAGAGGGCGTGTCTCTCTACCCGAGGAATCCCAGTAACTTGTGACTACTGACGTACTGCAGTCCGTACTCTGAACATCAAAGTCCTGAGTGCTCCCTATAGCTGATGTTTTTTAAGAAAACCTATGGTCATCTAAAAGCCATATATTCATGAAATACTATGTCATTTAATACCGAAATCATATGCAACATTCTAGATTCAAGAACATTATTTATAATCAGCTTAAACCAAATGACCTTTCAAATCATTTCTGAAGATAATGCGAGTTTGACAGATCTATAGCAGGACATGAATCTTTAATCGTGACTTTTATCCCGTAGGTGTCAGCTGTCGATATGGTGCTGAAGTGCAGTTCGAACTACCAGTAGCCAGGCTACTTCCAATAGCTCAGGCTGGGGAATGATATCCATCAGGTGACAGCCCTGTTCTGTGCTGGTTGCTATTGTACAGTATCATTGTGTGGTGTGATTTTGGAACAAAAACATCTGTCAGTATAACAAAGACCAGCATTTTTTCATATAAAATTAATGCACATACAGTATAATACAGAAAATTAAAATACCTCTGGTTTTTAGATTACATTTGTTACAAATTCTTGTTGAGCCAAAATAAAAAAGATCCTTTAGAGTGTCTTCTTGTTCCCTATGCAAGCTGTGAGTCCGAGTGCTATTTTCAGGGCAGTGTGTGTGTGCTCATGTCTAGATGTGTTTAAAGGACAAATTGGGAGGTAAACAAGGAGAAAGTAGGATACTGTCAGAGTGCTTTTCCAAGCCTATATCCTTTTACCTGGGTTGGTGTACAGGAGGAAAAGGGGCTTTGAGAAATGCCCTGGGATTTTTAGTTTATGCCCCTTCACATAGTGGTGATGTAGCTACAGGGGCTACATCAGCTCAGACGGCCACCACACACCAACAAGGGAAATAATTAGCACTACATTAAAAATTTAACAACATTAACAATATGAAATAACAACACTTCAATGGATTTGAGGCCTGAAATAGCCAAATTCGCATTTATAGTAGCAATTAGCACATCTGGTGTTTATTACATTTTAGGTACTCAAGAGGGTGTGTCTGAGCCCTGTATGCAGTGACAGGAGCCAACCCCTCATCCAAACGTGTGGTTTTGTTTCAGTGCAGTTTAAATCTATCTCTATCTGTGAGTGCTCCCTCGATTGTGTGCTGGACAAACCTGCTCAATAACCCACGGGGCCCTGGGCAACCATGAGTGCCGCCTGCTGTGGCCCAGCTTGGCTTTCCAGTGTGTGCTGTCGCTAGGCACCAGTCACTACGACAACGGCAAGAGGAGCCCAGCAACGCCCACCAGCCTGCAAGCCAAAATCTGCAACCTCATCAGCAGCGCCACTGACACAGAAGGTTAGCACACCATCCCACTCCTTTATCTGACTTTAACCTGGGCCATTGCTGGCAAAATTCCCCCCAGCTCTGCTGGGAACTCTTGTGTTTGATGAATGTGACTCCTTTCTAGAGCTTTGATGCTTTTCCCAATGTAATCCCTGTGTAATTATTGGCATAGAAAGACTACAGCAAGTAATGAAAGAGAGATGGCATGCAGACAGTGAGCATTAAACCCTATTGTAAGTGATAGCAGAGTGCATAACATTTCATTGCTTTGCATTTTGTTCTTTTTTTCCTGACACCAGTGTGTTACACCAAAGCTTTTAAAATGCTGAATATCCTTTAAAACCCTTTTGCTGTGGATTGACATTGGGAGCTATCAGTTATTAATTACAGTTGTTATTGGAAGTCAATGATGAATTACTGCATTCCTATATTGAAACTGACTTGTATTAATTGTTTATCAAATATCTCAGTCTAAGGCTTTGAACAAACATGTTTTTAATGGACAAATGAACCCCAGCAAAATCTTGGCCCAAAAAAGAGCTGTTTTTTTCATTCCAAATCGATCTACTGAAAGAAATGGCTTAGGAACCGGAAAAAAAGGACCGTTGTCCTATACTGTGATCAGCAAGACACTTCACAAAAGAGCTGCCAGAAACAGTTAATAGAAATGTCAGAGATCTTGACTTAACCTCCGGGGGCACGCTTTTATCTGCTTTAAAAAATACCAGAAAAAAATGATTTCCTCCTTATGCACAGCAGGGTCTGATTTCCGATCAGTGCTGATAAATGCAGGTGCTGCAGTCTTGCAGCCCTGAAGTGAATGTTTCAGTTAAACTCTGATTATTTTGTGCAGTGGAATTAATGATTCAACCATATTAGAGGGTCAAGTGGAAATCCTGGTGGAGACATTGTCAATTCATCTGTCTTTGTCTCCTCAGGGGTGTACGTCTTCCTGGATGACCTCCTTTTGACAGATGTGTGTATGTTTGCACTGGACAAGATCTGAGCTGATGCCCAGTGCTATCTGGACAGAAACCGAGTCAAACTTGTGTGACTTTGTAGGGTGCTATGAGCTGAGCACATGGCCCTCTGCTGGGCAGGGGACTGGCTGGAGCAGAAAGTCCTCAGCTCCACCTTCACCTGGACTGGAGCAGAAAGCCCTCAGCTCCACCATCACCTGGACTGGAGCAGAAAGCCCTCAGCTCCACCTTCACCTGGACTGGAGCAAAAAGCCCTAGAGCTCCACCATCACCTGGACTTGAACAGAAAGTCCTCAGCTTCACCTTCACCTGGACTGGAGCAGAAAGCCCTGGAGCTCCACCATCGCCTGGACTGGAGCAGAAAGTCCTCAGCTTCACCTTCACCTGTACTGGAGCAGAAAGCTCTGGAGCTCCACCATCACCTGTACTGGAGCAGAAAGCCTGGGATCTGACACTGACAGATCTACAACAACCACAACAGGGCTAAAGGACAGAAAACATCTTTCTTTAGATTTACTGTCCAAAATATTAGGAGACCCAGAACGGATTGAGGGATGGCCCTCTCAGAACTCAAAGAATGGCTTGAAGGGGGCGTGGCGGGTGGTCCTCAAGGTTAGGAAATATTTGCATCCCAATTGCACCCCACCTTTGGGGCAGGAAAGTCCTTGGTAGAGATTGTGATGAAGTCCATGGCACTGCACTGCCCACTCTGCTAGCTTTGGTGGTGGTCAAAAGGAATGACATCGGGGCGTTGTCATGATTAAGAAAGGTGAAAGAAATTACCTGCCACTGGTTTCTTGAATTGATTTGGGGTTCCTGACAGTTTAGCCAATGTGTATGTGTCACAGAGACATTGATAAGGAATTAAAAGGCTGCCAAGGGAGCAGCAGCTGCACAACAAGTGCCTTCCTTTTTCTTAACCTTCTTTAAATCAGGTGGAACGACGGAGATGTGAACTGCAGATTGGAAATTTGTTTCCAAACCAGAAACATTTGCTTACCTATTTTTTTATGCCGATACTTTTATCCAAAGCAACTTACATTTACTACCATTTACAGAACAGAGTGTTTAGCTGGAAAAATTTGGGAACGGCGCCTTGCTCGGGGGTACAACAGCAGTGTCGCCCCACAGCCTTCCAGTAACAAGTGCAGAACCCTGACCACTGCCCCCACTGCTGCTTTAACACAAAGGAAGGTGGTGAAGAGAGAGGGAAAGGGATTTGATGATGATATTATATGTGTATAATATTCTTAACATGCCACACAATACCATACTGAAATGGGCAATTTTAATAACGAGAAATTTCCCTTGCTGAACCCGGGAGGTTAGGCAGACATGTGAAAATATATTCCAATGGTGCCTTACACATTGTTGCTCTCTGTATGCTGTGTTCGGCAGTTAAATACATAAGGTAACACATGAGAAGATGCTGTCTGGGTCATCTTGCTTGTTCAGTGGATTGATTCTAGGATCTTATCAAGCAATTTTTCAAAGTATCCTGTGTTTTCATCTTTAACACTGCAGGATAATCAGGAACTTGGCTAGGTATGGGGTTTGACTACAACTATAGGACATCGCTATCTCTCTTTGTAAATCTGTACTTTCCCAACCTGCTAAATTCTTGACAATGTTGCTTTGCATATTTATTTCTGAGTTCCTTTGGATGCTGCGGCATTGCAGAATAGCTGTAGACAAATACGATGACGGTCACCTGCTGTCACGCTGTCTGACGAACACGGTCAGGAACACAGCGACAGCGACTGCCGTCCATGGCAGGAGATAGGAATGAGTGAGCCCAGATCCTGGAGGAGAAGAAATGATGTTGTGCCACTGACAGCAGCTCAGCAGGGGAGGTGTCTGGAAATCCAAGTATGGAAGAGAAAATAAAGTTTTTCCTTTAGATTATCCATCATTTATTCTTATATTACATATTTTTATTGTGAACTTTAACACAACTGCAAAGCTTTTCTTTTTGTTGTTCTTGTTATTTTTTGTTATGACTTCAGTTAATTAAACTGCCTTGTCCAGTTTATGTTAAAATACATAAAGCGTTTCTGTTAATACAGCAATATGTAAAGAATTCAGGCACACCTGAAGAAGGCTCCACGGCCAAAACGTTGTGTTCTCTTTCTTCTTTTTTTCAGCATGGAATAAACCTATTACTTGTTCCAATATGTAAAGAGTTCATTCTCACACACTGAATAAACAGTTTGATATAATATGGATTTTAAATCCATACCAGTTATTATAAGTTCACAAGAATGTAGAATCTTTCTTTTTATTCTGACTTGAAAGTTCCCATTAATATTTTAGCTGTAAAATAATTTATTGAAATGTTTCTGAGGAATGTGGTCTTGAAGTCTGCAGCAAATGAACAGTTCAAAGAATAAAAATGCTTTTAATTTGCCTTTGGATGTAACTTGGAGTTGCTTGTAGTTGTAGTTGAACTTCTTATTTGTACTCATTTGTATTTTATATGATTTAAATAAAAATAAAACGATCAACATATGATTGAATACACTGATGTCTCTTACGGACTGAAGCATGAAGGCCCTGCAAATTAATTGATTTTTAAACTGCTTGCTTCTCACTTTGCATTTGAATGACTAGAAATTTCGCTTTGAAGTTGATTTATATATTTAAGACATTTATAAAGCATCCAAATATTTTTTATAATGCAAATATACCTTGCAGGCTTTAAAAATGTATGCTCCAGCATTTTTTCATTGGGTGCACAGTATGAAGATGTGTTCTTAAGAAAGAATGAGTTTTGTATGTGGGGAAAGTACACCCCCTTGTGCCTTTAAGAAGAAATGCAGAAATTGACAAAGACAGAGACCTGGCTGGGTTGTTTTGGACTCTTTGGGTGATGATTCCACAGTTGTTTACTTATTTTAGCTTAACCCTGATGATGCTTAACTGTGTATCATTCATTAAAGTCATTGATAGTGTGGTGTTTTGTGATCTGGGCTCACTGGAGGTCAGCCTGCTATACATTTTCTTTTGGTGAAGCAATGGCTCCTATAATTTCTAAGAAAGCAAAACCCTGCTGTCCTATAGACAAGTGTCACAGCTCCAGATCACACGTCACGTTAGTGGAGTTATAGAAAAGAGGATGCCAGTGGCAGGGCTGCTTTTCAGAAGGTGCACAATTTTTCATCGACCCCCTCCCCATTGGGATGAAAGTGGTGGTACTGAAGCAGTGCCGATTAATTAAGAAAGCTCAGAGACAGAATGTTTCAGAAGATGATGTCAACCCCTGGAAGCCTAGACACTAGAATTGTCCCCTGGCAGGAAACCTGGCCTTTAGACAGAGGGGAGCTGCCGCTGTATACTGTACATGCTGAGCCCATGAGCGACTGTCACGATTGGCAACTGGCAACGAGGAATTAAAAAAAATGTGCAATATGCAATGAGGCTCACCTTTTTAAAATTGCTTTGCATTGTTTTTTTTTACATAAGCTGTCTCAAGCAAAAATGTTGGTAATACCAGAATTAGCAATTTTTTTCTGTCTCTCTTGTTGCCCACCATCCCAGCTGCGAAGGATGGTGTAAAGCAGTACTGCACAGTGCTTCCTCTGAGCCTCTCACCCCCCCCCTGCTGTGGCAGGAAGCACGATGAGGGGGCAAGGACGTGCTTATGGTTTAATAAAGAAGGCTAATACGTCCTGGCTCTCACACAGCATGATGTGTCTGCCGGGGCTGCTGTTGATTGCGTGCCTTATCCCAGGTAAGTGTGGAGAGGTGGGTGTATGGAGACAAAAGAACAACACCCCCCCCCCTCCAGAAACACACAGCAACAGGCTTTGAGGTAGAGAATAATGGGTAGATCTGATCTGAAGGCGAAGGTATGAGATGTTTATTTCGAGAAGCTATTTTTTAACTCATGGTAAAGCGTTGAGTGAAGGCCTTTGATTTTCTGACTGTGACTGTGTCGTCTTCTGTGTTTGGCCCTACAGGCCGCCTGCTCCACAGGGTGGAGCTGGGCGCGGGGGAGTCAGTGTCCGTGCGCTGCCATTACGAGCCCCGGTGTCGGCGTGGGCCCAAGGTGTGGTGCCGGCAGATCTCTGACAGCGAGTGTGTGATAGTCGCACCGGCAGACAGCAAGACCGCAAGGCCTGACCAGCAAGACAAGGTCCAGATTTTAGACAACACCACCTATAACTTTGTCACCTTCACTTTGAGGAGCCTGCAGCAGGGCGATTCCGGAGTGTACTTCTGCGGTGTCCACAGCAACAACAGGGTTCATGCTCTGGGGATGCTGGAGATTCAGGTGTCCAGAGGTCAGTGAGGGTGCCTCCCCTTTGAAAAACAAGGAATCAATTGCTAATAGTGCCTGTAAACAGCCAGAAAAGAAATAATGAAATGCATTGCATGAATGAGTGGCATGGTGGTGCAGTGGCTACCATTGCTGTGTCGCAGTGCTGGGGTTCTACGCTCAATTCCTGGGGTGGTTTGTATGTTCTCCCTGTATTTGTGTGGGTTTCTTCCAGTTCTTTCTGAGTCCAAAAACATACGGGCAGGCTAATTAGCTTTGGGGAGAATTGGCCCTGGTGTTGCATCTGTGTCTGCCCTGCAATGGACTGGTTTCCAATATTTTTAGGCAGAACCCAGCTTTGTACCTGTTGTTTGACGGAACAGGGTCTGGCTCCCGTGTGACACTGAGCTGGAAGAGGCAGTCAGAAAATGGATGGATGGATGCATTCCAAACATATATGAACATTAATATTGAAGAACAGATTAGTTCCATTCTGAAGAATAGAAAGGGTGTTGTTTTGAACTATATTTTGTTCTATAGTATTCTGCAATGGCCGAGGGGACACACAACTCCAGCCACACGTGTCCTCTTTCTGTTCCAACTGGATTCTTGAACCAACGAGAGCCTGTTCTGTGCTTAAGGACATAAAAACGGTTAAGAAAAATGGAACAGGCTACTGAGCTTTTTTTTTTTTCAATCACTAGCTTAGCGATACTCACTCCTATCCTTCAGGTTTTATATGTACCTATTATGCTGAATGAGTCAAGACTTAAAGACAGCGGCTTAAATCGATTATTTGATTCAGATCAATTCATTAGGAATTCAGGGAGGAATGAAAACTAGAGACACTGCCACCCTCCAGTTATTGTGTCCGATGGTAAATCTATTTCTTTATCCAGTCTTTGATTGGCCCGCTCATCTGTACAGCAGATTCCACCTTTAGTACAAGGCCTCCTGACCATTTGTTGCAACGCAGACTTAGGTTGCGGGATTGAGATTAGCAGGATGTAAATAGCTACACAGGATGCAAATAGCTACACTGCAGTGCAGACGTCTTCAATATCTTAGATGTGATCAGGAGTTTGTGGCCGTTTCGAGAATACATGTGTGTTTTCAATGCGAGCATTGATACTTTACTCAGACCTCCACTGCTGTTTTCTCCTGTTGTAACATCTTTGACTGTTATTATTGGATCTTAGTTTTAGTGTGAAGAAAGCGAGCTCATAATTTAGTGAATCTTTAATTCTGATTGATCAGTATCTTCAAAAACACGATTATAATAACTCAAGGTAATTAAAACAACCGCTGCAAATATCAAGTGTTGAAGCAGAAAATCCGTCACATTTACCCAATAGACCTTATTTACTCATTTTCAGGAGCCCCTCATCATTATCATTATTTTTTCTCTATGCATAGCATACCCATAAAGCTAAAATACTGCTTGATCTACACCAACTACACATCAGGCTTAACTGCTGAAACACAAAAAGATTAAAACTTCACCTGAGAATCAACGTAAAATAGTATTTCTGCACTGAGAAAGAAAAGCATGGAGTGAAGAGTGGAACGATCTAAAATAGCTAACTCTGGTGCCAGTAATGTATATTACAGAGTTCCATGATAAACTGTTTTCTGAAGTACAAAGTGATCAAATAAGCCTATATATTTCTTTAAAAGAACAAAAAATGGAAAATGTGTCGTCTGCTTTGTTTGCATGCTTTTTTTCCATGGTTTAGTTGCATGCGTTTTTAATTGTACTGTATGCTTTTTTCTGTGGTTGTTATCCTTCTGAGATTCTAGAAGCCTTGGAGACTTAGCTGTATAAATGACTGCAAAGACCACTCAGAGCTCACTTTAACAGGAAACGAAATTAAAGAGACGGAAATTGTATGAGAGAACATTCATGGCTGTGGACTGAGGAGTGTAATCCGCAGTACGGAGATCAAGGCGAGGACCATGAAGCCATTAGTATAATACTATAGTAGTTTTTAGGTAAACAGCTGTCCTGGCAAATTCCAGAATCCGAACTCTTTTTTATGGATCTCCTTTTTTTTATTCTCAGTATTTAACTGTTGTGCAAGATGTGTTTCCTCTTGCATACTGTGTGATCACACAACACAGTGGGCAAAATAACAGTTCTGTTTCAGTCTTTCAGATGCTGTGCTTTTAAAAACACTGTCTTGTTCCTTGTCATGTCTTGAGTTAGGAAATGAGAAATAAGTAAATCTGTTGAGAGTGGATTTAGTGTTCCCAAGCTTTTGATTTAATGATCATTGCTAATTCTATTTTCTTTTATCTTTTCCCTTGGGTTCAGAGGAAAGAAATACAGTGACTGTGAAGCCAAAAATGAAAACAGCCAACCTTCTCATTTGCTTTTAATTTTAGAGTCCCGTCTTGACTCACAAAAATGAATCAAAAAACGACCCCACAAACCCCAGTGGATGAGACTCCCTAATGCAACTCTTTGTTCTGGCAGAGCTGGTGACAGGGCATCTGGACTCAACACCCAGGACAACTACAGCTGGGACGTCCCCAGTCAGCTCCCTGTCTGTCAGGCTCACCGCCTTGCCAGAGGTGCCCGGGTAAGGGACCACACTGCACTCTCTTACTGTTAACAACACAGAATAGAAGACAGGTTTCACATGAGTGGAGCACGTTTTGCTCATCTGGGTGCTGGTATTATATTTGTTAGATGTTCTTGTATACCCTTTTGCTAAGGGACCTGGGGAATCTGCTACATACACATGGTAAGCTCTGAAAAATGCTGTTATAAAAATAAATCATCATTTTTTAAAAAAGGTCAAAAGAGTTTTTTTTTAATACTTAGGAAAGAGAAGGATTCAGTTGGAAATAGATATTTTGTTTGAAATTGTGTTAAGGAAGTGCAAATTAAACCCTCAGAGTCTTTTTTGTAAGGCTCGTGGAGAGGAAGAAACATCAGGGGAAGCCAAATAATTCAGAAACAGAGGGCTTGCTTTCTAACTGGGTGTCAACGAAGTACATTCAGTCCTGATGCCTGGGTCTGCTGTCAAACATGTCTTCCTCTTTCTTCCCCTCTCTTTCCCTGGCCCTCAGTGTGGATGCACTGGGGAGCGACCCGATGTCTTTCTTCCTGGTGATCCTGTTCGTCATCATCATGGTGACTGCCGTGGTGATCTTCATTCGAGTCATAGTGCGATTCAGGAGAGGTAGGGGTTAAGTCTCTTACCTCAGTTTATCTGAAAATACCACGTCTGCGTAAACTGCTAAATTCATTTCACTCTGCTCTGTGCTACTTGCTTAATCTCTGAACTTCTGCACAGGTTTTATCTTTTTCTCGGCTCCACAGGTAGTTTGCAAAGGCTAGAAATAACACACAGGATTTGTAAAACAAGAATCACAGCGAAGACCCCCGTTGCTTTCAGCCTCTTTTATTTTTTATATGTAGTGCTTGCAGGTCTGTTTCAAGTCATTTTACTTTATTTTTATAGAAAAAGGTTGCAATAAGAATGTTTACTTTTCTCTGCCCTGCAGATGAAGTACAGTATTCATGAATAGATTAGGGTTGTACTGTAAGTGAGATATGAGTTTGTGATGAACGATGATTAAATTCAAGATAGGGATGGCAGCTGAAGTCTGGAGACGTCACAGTTGCCTCCTCACGTTTCAAAACGGAACGGTTGTCAGCTGCTTTACCACCCAGGTGCCTGGTTTCCTCTCATCTTCAAAGCTAGACAGCACTAAACCTTGCCTGGCTGTTTACTAGGATGGGGGCACTTCAAGGACAGCCACACTCCTGCTGTTTTATGGCCACTAGGTGGAGCTCTGCCCCATGGGCCAGAAATTCCACTGAGTGTGCAGCAGGATGTACTTTTCATTTTGCAAGTCCCTGACTACACATGGATTCTTGATCCCATGGGACTGAGCTAAACAGCAGGAGTGCTAATCACGGCATCCAGACTAAATTCTTGTTCAGTTTTTCTTGATCACCCCTAAATGGCCTGATACCTTGATACCTAACCTGCCAAGCGGTATCACCTCCACCTGCTCTGCTGTGCACTGAGCTGGTGAAGCAGTACAGCCACCACTTGCCACCCCAGGGAGGTGCTGCAATCAGCCACACCAGTGAAGGTTTTATTAAGAAATTGTAATCTGTGCAGTGATGCAGTAAAGCACGGTGGTTGCTGATGTCATAAAGACATGAAATCCATGCATATATCAGTATAACCCTCCTGTTGCAAGGACAGCAGGTGGGACACTACACTGTAGTTCCAGCAAGGATTATTCCACAGCAAGAATTAATCTTGGACTGTTCTGATAGAGTTGGAACAGGATATAAAAGCCAAGAACATGTCCAGTCTGTAACAGACTGTGTCAGGCTGTGTCACTCTGGGCTCTCATTCTGTGGCATTTTGTGGGTGATGTGCCCATACTGTACGTCTGTCTACAAAAGTCATGAAATACTGTAGCTAATACCAGTACAACATCAGTTGCAATGAAATCCAGATTCATATCTGTGAACTGCATTGTGTTGAGTAATGTTAAATATATATCAGTCATTTTGCTTTTTTGCTTAGTTTCCCCCATGGAAGTGTAAACAGCTGTGTATTCAGCACTCTTATTCCTTCAGCAGCAGTTTGCTTGAAATGTTTTGTTAAATTTCCCTTGTCTTCATTTATTAACCAGGGATGAGCACATGGCTCAAGACCCTCATACCATCGTCATTAGTTCGGCTCGTATGAAGTGTTAATCCTGAAAAACCTCAAACGGTGCAGTCTTTAAGCACACAGATAAGGCTGATCAGATCTTATCAGATACAGTATCTAGCAGCTGTTAAGAACAACTTCTAAAGCTTTGCAAGAAACAGGAGGTGTTTTTCTGCTGATTTTAAAAGGCTGTTTTAATCTCAGTTTCAGTTAGTACGCCCCCAGGGAAATGCACTGCGCTCCAAGTACGTCTGACTGTTTTCTGCTGTGATTAGGGAAATGGGTACTTTTCTTCACTCTGTGCTCAACCATATAAAGGCAACTCAGAGCAAGACACAGACACAGACCCAGATCAAGTACAACCTTATGCATGCAGTCATGTTGTTAACTAGCTTGCACGATGATTTGGAGGGGAACTCCATTTAACAGCACGATCTCGTCTTCGCTCACAAGATCACATCAAGGAGAGATCTAAGCTGCCTTTGGTGATGGCAAGACTGACTCGGCGGCGGGTTCAGCAGAACGTTTACGGCGCGCCCCCTCGCAGGACCCCTGCCGCCGTGTGCAGTGGTGAGTTCTGGGAGTTTTTCAGCCGGCTCTGCAAGAAGCCAGACTCGTATTTCAAGTCTCCTGCCTTAATCAGGTCTTGATGCAGCACATTGTGTCACGGTCGTCATCCCTCTTCTAGAGGGCGCTCCTCTCTTTTTCGTTGTGTTCCCACCTTAATTTGTCCCAGCTGTTTCCTATCCCCATTTCTCTATTGAAGCCCTGCGCCTCTGTAGTTCTGGGCTCAGCTTTGAAAGCCTGGAAGTTCCAAAGCCTGCCTACCACCGGGCACAGGAGTGGCCCAAGGGCATAGGCTTCACCACGGTGTCCTGACCTCTGAGTTCGGAGCGCCTTGCCTTGTTGTGATTTTAATCTTCCATGTGCCTGGTTCCACGTTCCCGTTCCCTGTGTTAATTCTCTTTGTCATGGATGGACCACCTGGCTTTCGGTTTATGGACCGCGCCCCGATTCCTTGAACTCGTTAGCCTACTCCATGCCCCTCAAGCACCATCCCCTGTCTGTCATCCCAACCTTACCTCGCTGTGCCTGCCCTGATGTCCTTCTCCAGACTCTTCCGGATTATACCGTCACGCACAGGGAAAGACAGAGAAAACAACAAACTTCACGGGAGTCAAACACAGTGTCTGCATTTGAAACTAGGGAGGACTAATCTTACATCGGACAAAGAAGGGATGGGTTCAATAGCTGGCTACAGAGAAAGAATCCCACAATATTGGTCCAGAATAATGGACTGATAGGTCAATAGTGCCTAATCTTATGCACAATAAATTTGGGCATCTTTCTCTCTTTTTTCAGCCCAGGTCAGTCTGTGAGCAAGGGGACTAATGACATACTGGAATAATAGGAGGCTAACATGGACAAATATGAGGATTAAAAATGTATAACAGTGTAAAATAGGTCACATTTTGTAGTGAGTTTTTAACACTTATTTCCTTTGTTAAGAATATGTACAGTATGTCTTTCCATCCATTTTCTAAATGCTTTATCCAGTACAGGGTTGTGGGGAATCAGAGCACCAGATGCAGCACGAGATACACATTGAACAGGACACCAGTACATCACCATGTTGACAAACACACACACATACACACCAGGGCCAGTTTTCCCAAAAGCCAATTAACCTAACAGTACTGTATGTTTTTGGACTGTGGGAGGAAACCGGACAGCTGGAGACTCACAAACACGGGGAGACCATACAAACTCCACTCAGTGTGCACCCCGGAGCCCCAGCGCTGACAGGCAGCACTGAACCACTGCCCCGTTCACGTGTTTGTTCATACTTGTATGATGTTTTAATGGTACAATCTATCAGATGCGAAATGTGTTTCATCTTGTCCGGGGACTTGAGGCCGCGCAGCTGTGAGAGGAACAGTGCAAAAATGACAGGTCCCCTCTCTTCAGAACAACAGCGCCGCCCTGAACGAGACCATGACGAATCGGCTGCTCCGCGTCCTTGAGAAGATGGTGACCCAACATCAGTAACAGGGAATCTAACACACTGATTTGTTCAGGTGTAGGTTTCACATTTCTTTCGGTCGTGTTTCAGCTCCCCCGAGATCTAGGCCGCCGGATGCCGGACGCAGGACAGACCAGGGATCCCATCACGGCGTTCCGGAAACCCCTCGACACATCACCACGGTGAGGTGCCCTCTGCAGTACAATTCCCATCCGCTCCCCCACCTAGCAATTTTTTTCCAAGTGGGCGAAAGCACTCTGGCAATCAAAAAGCCACCATCAAGGGCGAGGTGTGTTATTGTAGACTGCCCAAAAGCTTTGCCTTAGTCTTCCCTAGTCCCGAAGACATTTTAATTTTCTGGTAGCGACATAGAGTTATTTTTAAACATCTATACAAAGCGTTTTATACCCGTAAGATAAAACAAAATGAGTTTCACGGGTTTCTATAGTGAACTGACTTTTAAGGGGCAGTTGGACGTCTTAGTTCAGAGAATTTGATTTTCGAACTACAATTACTGCTTTGGACCACAAGAGGGCGCACGCTGACTGCTGGACTGCCTGAGAGAGACTGCTACGTAGGCTGGCTCTGCAGAGACGTCTGACCTTTACAACGACTTTGCCTGTCTCTCAACACCTAGCATGTACTGTAGAGTGGTCAGGTAACCTATGTCCATTGCCCCGTGTCTGGACATGATGCCAAGGATGCGTACAGTACGTTAGCAAAACTGTTGTCCGTATCTTCACTAAAGCAAAATAATATATTGATATATTATTATATGAATTGGGTTCAAAATAGCGTTACGTTAAACATTAGATTTAATTTTGCTGCTGCTCCCTAGTCGACTAATCGACTACTCCTTTTCCAAACTTTGGAAAGTCGTACGCTATCACATTTATGTATTATAAACATTATGAATTGCAATACGGTGCTATTCATATTTTTATGACTATTGTAACAAAACAGAAATCAAGTTCAAGTCAGCCTTGAACCCGAAGAAAGCTCCACAGCCGAAACATTCTGTTTTCTTTCTTCTCTTTTCGGCATGGAATAAACCTATTACTTTGTCCTTTGACGCAGCTGCCCACCTGAACTAAACAGTAATCATTATCACAACGTATATACTCAATATACATGATACACAACTTGCCCGTCACTTCCCAATATTTTAACGAATGCAAATAACTCTTTACTGGCCGTGATTTTAATATCCGCTTAAGACGTAGCCCCATAAAACTTGTCTGAAACTATATACGCACCTCATTCGCCTACAGTATAGCTACAGATGAACATGTACTGTACCTACTGTACTGTACATGACGGAATATCACTGCGGTGCGGTGGCTCTGTGCCTAAGGATCTGCGCCTGTGGCTGGAAGGTTGCCGGTTTGTATCCCGCAGGCGGCAGAGGAGTCTGAGCAAGGCCCTTAACCCCAACTGCTCCAGGGGCGCCATATAAATGGCTGACCCTGTGCTCTGACCCCAAGCTTCTCTCCCTGTCTACAGTACGTGTCTCATGGAGAGCAAGCTGGGGTATGCGAAAAGACAAATTCCTAATACAAGAAATTGTATATGGCCAATAAAGTGATCTTATCTTATAGTGCAAGACGGGAGATCTCAGCTTGACTGTGTACGACTTGTCTCTGGCGCCACAGCACTTGATGGGAGAATCCTCTCCGACAGCAGCCCAGTACGTGTGCTTCTAAAGGAAGGACCAATTGAGCAATTAGGGGGCGTAGAAAAGTTCCGACTTTGAAAACTTGAACTATTTTAGTTTAGTTTGATGAATTTGACAGTGGGACTCCGTATTGCTGTAAGCACAATGTCAGTACTAGACTACACCTTGGCAGGTGGAGTGAACCTATATGAACAATCTGTCTTTTTTTTAAGATCAGATCACTTTATTAGCCATATACAATTTCTTGCCTTAGGAATTTGTCTTTTCTGCATACCCCAACTTGCTCGACATGAGACACACAGACAGAGAGAAGCTTGGGGTCAGAGCACAGGGTCAGCCATTTATATGGCACCCCTGGAGCAACTGGGGTTAAGGGCCTTGCTCAGGGGCCCAACAGAGTAGGATTTCTCTGCCAGCCATAGGATTTGAACCAGCAACCTTCTAGCTACAAGCGCAGATCCTTAGCCACAGAACAACCTGTCGTAACTGTTATGGTTGCAGGAGGCCCAGCGGTCACCTGTGCGTCCACCCAACCACGGGCCCAGCGTTAGGCTGTGAAGAGGCACCCACGCACGGAGGGAGGGAGACAGAAGACCCACGACCGGCGCTATCCGAAGAGAAAAGGCAACCTAACGGCTTTACTAGTTACTACACTGTAAATTGTGCTTTCTGAATATTTACCCTTTTCCACACTGCCCTGCTCTTAAAGTGAAAGGGATCGTTATTTTCTTCACACTGGCTGATTATTTTTTGTTTTTGTTTTTTTCCGGGGAAGGTGGAGGGTGGGTCTTTGTGAAAGTGTAAAGTTGTGGTTTCTGCTCTCTAAAATCTTCCTTCTAATCTCCAGAATCACTGAAGGAAAGTGTGCTTTGAACAGCTCCAAAAGTTACAGGGGCACATGAAAGAGTCCAAATAAGAGGAGGCCATGTACTGCAGGTCATTTGGTTGCTAGTGGCCTTCCAGTTGTTTCTTGAAAGAAGCCAGGGAATCGGCTGGGCAGCTTGTTCCACACTTCCACCACTCTTTGGGTAAAGAAGTGCCTTTTTTTTCCAGTTCAAAATGGACTGTCTCTACTTTACTGTTCTGTCCTCTGGTTTGTGTCCATCGGGATGACATTTGCCTCTGCCTTGAGGGATGGTGAAGACATGTTTGAAGTTCCTATTAAAAACTAGAAATTGAGGGCAGGATCTCTCCCTTAGGGGAGGTGCAGGAGAAAGTATTGCATGGGAAGGCTGAGGCCTGAGAGGAATATTGCATTCGTTCTCCACCGGGTTTCAGAGGCGTGTTGGGATCACACTACAGTCAGGTAGAGCACTGTTCTAGAGAGTATCTAACCGCTGGGCAGGGATCTAGGTCTGGCAGTACTGCACTAGAATGCTGTTAGGAGAATTACTTTAGTTATGACTATTACATAATTAATTAACCTAATGAAAAGGTTGTTATTGCTTATTTTATGTAACATGTTTTTCGATGCCAATGCTGTGGAGGTTTATAAGCTCAGAAAATTGTAACAAATTAGCATAACTACTGTGTGTGCAAGTTGAAACTGGGATAAAGACGTCAACTGGTGGTACTGGATCTGGTATCTGATTAAATCAGGTAGGTTTCAGTTATTCTAGTCAGTCATAATCTCTCAGTTTACAGTTACAGTGATCAGAATTGTAAGAGGAAATTGCAACAGCAACAACTATGTTTTATTCAATGGGAAATTACAGATGCAATTACACAACAGCAATTAAGGTAATGTTTGCAGCTGAACAGAAAAGAATAAGTGACTACACAGATTAATGTCTTCATCATATTAGTTTCTGAAAATGCAATTAAGGGACACGGAGGTATAATCAAGCTCTAATTGATCTATGTATGGAATACACCACTATTCTGTTTAATCATCGTTTTAAAAAATTCACACTTTAGGATTAAACGTTGGTATGGTATGTTGATAGAGATAAAAAATGTAGGAGTCAGAATTGAAAACAGAGCTAGGATAGAAGGAAATGGAAAAAGCAGATACAATTTGCGTAAAGAAAGGATTTATTTGGAAAATGGGGGGCTATGGTGGTGTAACGGTTAGCAGTGTGGCCTTGCAGCACCGTGGCCCTGGGCTCAGTTCCACACATGGAGTGCTGTCTGCTTCATCCAATTCAGGGTCTCGGCAAGCAATGGGAACAAGGATCCTGGACAGGATGCCAGTCCGTAGCAGGACACACACACTCGCACCAGGGCCAGTTTTCCCAGAAGCCTGCAACCTACTGTACCGGCACGTCTTTGGACTATGGGAACAAACTAACTCCGCACAGATAACACCCCAGGTCTAGAATTGAACCCAGGTTCCCAGCGCTGCAAGGCAGCAATCCTAACCACTGAGCCACTGTGCTGTCCCTCTCAAAATGAGCTAATGCCATTTGCACTGTGTGTACTGTTGTGTGTCTAGATCCACTCGATATCCTGAACACATGTCCCCATATGATACACACACAAGCGTTGATCAAACGTATTGATTCAGTTCTCTAAACACACCATTTTTTTCACCCGGATATTTGGAAGTTCACAGCTTTTCAGTAATTGATCCTTCTTTAAAAGTCAAGAGTGAATAAAGGTGGAATCTTACGTTTCAGAAGCTGGCATGCTTATGATGCTAATGAGGCCTTACTAGACATTTTGTTGTTCAGCCACATAATCAATGCAAACGTGTTCTGGTCCCTGTGTATCAGGGAAATCCCAAGGATTTCTGGTTCTGTGTAGCGCTCCCCTCTCCTGTGATGCCCTCCTGACCTTGCTATGTGGGATTCAACTGCCTGCTGCCGTGTGGTAGTGGAGAGTGCGACCTCAGCACAGACAGCCTGCAGCACGGTGATCTAATACTGGTTATACTTGGAGATCAGCTCTGGTCTGCAGGGAGCCCAGGGTTGGCAGTACCACCTGGGGCTCCTGCATTTCTTATTAAACTGGAAACACGCCGGAAGCCAATTTCTTTCGTTTTTCAAGTCATACAAAATACATTAGCAGGGAACTAAAATAGCATTTGTAATATTTCCTCTTGTGCCTTTTGTGTAGTAAGTGTTATGATACAGAGGAATTCTTGAATTGCATGTTCTCTGCCTTTTCGAGTCTACGGCCCTGCTTTTTCATGTGAGTGGAAAGCTGACAAGCTGCCGATCTTATTGAGATACTATGAAACAGGCAGGCAGTGTGAATACTGGTTAATGGGAAATTGAACCTGTGGTGTAGCTCACAAGTACACTGTGCCTGTTTGGATTGCATTTGTTCTGTGTGTTCTGTGGAAATTTTGAATTAATACAAATCTTATTTTTCTTAATGCTATACGTTTTAGAGACATTTTCGGTTTACTGTTTGTTTTCCTATCAGTTCTAGTTCTAGAATGATATAGATTTTGACAACAATGTGTAGTTCGTTGCTTTGTACTTTTGGTAAAAGCTGTATGGTCAAAAACCTCTCCTAATCATCTGTTATTCCTAGTATCCCTAGTCTTTTTATTGACATGCTCTTGGTATTCAGTATTTTTTTATTTACAATGCTGTTTGTCATTCTAAATGTTTAAATTCACAATAAAGCAATACATTTTTTCTTCGCCTACCTTTGGATTATTCTTAGAATGAAAAATTGAATCGAGTGTCACACATCTCTTACAGCAGGGTCCCCTTGAAGATGGAAAGTCTTTTGAAATGATTTGGGAATCTGTTATTTAAAATCTAACCATGCAGTCATGTACAGTAAGCACTGAATTAGAGACAAGCATGTGTGCACAGATTTAAGTATTGTATTGCATGCTGTTTTCTGTGTGACCCACAGTAATTACCACTCTGATCTTAGACTGATATTTAGTCAATAGACAAATCTATCGATCATCTGGGCTATGATCAAACATGATGTTGACCTGTCTGTGGAATTGAGCTATTGAAAATCTTTAAATTTCATCCCGAGCACAATCACTTTTGCAGATGGGTGGGTGTGTTGTAATGTTTGCTCATGTGTCTCCCCTTCGCTTCAGTGTGAAACACCAGGCCCCTGCGCCTTTTTAAGTACTACATGTGCTTCCAAACCAGCCAGTGTCCGGCCAGGTTAATTAAATAAGGTTGCTCATTACATACTGACTCAGGCTTGCACCAAAAGGAAGAGAAGAGAAAAGGCTTAATCCTGGAAGTTGCATTCATTTAATAAGTATAAGAATCACGGTAACCATGTGCAACAATCAATATGAAAGAACAATAATTCTTATTTAATACACCCTAATTTGATATAATTCACAATTTCATTCTAATTACATACCATTAAAGGTTTTATTTTTTAAAACAAATTTGCCTACCAGACATCTAATTCCTATTTTTTTTTTTATGAACAGACTTTGACAGTGTGTGAACATAAGGGTTACCAGCTCGGTTTCTAGAACAGATAGAGTGAAAGGATACTAATCATCCCTGGGCTAGTCGATACCCCCCACACCACACGTGTGCCTGTCTTAGAACTGAGCAGTATCGAGGAGTGATGCCCCCGGGCATAGATTCTTTTGGGAGTCAGGAAAGTACAGACTGACTGCATTGCCCAAGTGCATTCCTGCCTAAACTCCAGAACCACAGCATTCTGGTTTGTTTCAATGCCAAAACTGTCATGACGACTATCATTTTATGACCGCTATTACTGGCTCCACAAATTTCCTTATTCCCTGCGTAAACAGAGCTGGTTTGTCTTTGTTTGATTGCTGTCCTCCTTCATTGCACTAATTAATGTAAGTCATCCTGCATACAAATAACAATGATAAATATCTCTTGGGTTCTTGGTTTGATTCTGGATTGGGAAACCCTCTGTGTGAAGTGTGTGTGGTTCCCCTGAATTGTGCACGAGCTTCCTCCAGCTGCTCTGGTTTCCTTCCACCTTCCAAAGACATGGCCTGGGTGAAATGGCATCTCCATGTGTGTCCACACCCACGTGCCTTTGTGTGTCCCCAGTGATGGACTGGCGTCCTGTCAAAGGGCACAGTCCCACCTTCCCTGAAGCTTCCAGGATAGGTTTTGTTTTAACAGGAATTGTCAGGAATTAGCGACTTTTCTAATAATGGATGGACAAAAAATACAAATAGGACATGGCATTGCTTAGAAAGGTCATTGAATGTGTCCAAGGCCTGGGATTAGGGCTGTGCCATCAAAAAAAAGGAACGTTGGTTTCATCCAGTGGAGGCAACCTGTGGAGCGCTGCATAAAAAGACTGTGTTTCTGACAGAGAGTCATTGTGGGTGTATGGCCAGGGCCGTGCCAGCCAGGGCACAGATACTGTATTGGTAACCCACAGCTCACTGACTGCATCACAGGAATATTAAACAGCAGGGATGAGCCGAGAGGCTGTCAGGCAGCAGGAATGACTTGGAATGCTGGATATCTTCAAAAGCGTTGTGTACCCCTGTGCTCTTTTTCCAGACATCACCTCCAAGTACACTTTTATATACGTGAACAAATGTATAGATGAGTACAGTATTTGATGCATACATTTTTTCTGAAACTTGACTTTTCGTTTATTTTTGCAGGGAGATATGTAAACCATTGTTGGAATGTAGTGTTACGTCATGTGTTAAAAGGAAAAAAAATAAACTGCATTTAAGTAACAGAGCTCAGAGCAGTTTTGCTTCCAGGGTCTTTAAGGGATCACTGTTGTTGATTTGTTGTGTTAAAATTTTGAGTTCCCACGCTGAGAGGATTGTGCTACTGTATCTGGATGCCATGTTCACTTAATTAAGTTTAAATCGTTATAAGCAACAATACACACCAGTCAGTTTGCTCACAAACTTGTCAGTTGTCAGTGAAATGTTTGAGATTATGCAAATGCAATCCCTATGGAAAGAAAATGAATCTCCATGTGACGTGCAATTATGCAAAGACTGGTGAATTTAATATTGGTAAATGAAAGAACTGTATACCAGTGTGTACGTATGGACACGGGTTTACTACAGGGGCCGCACATATGGGGAACAATGTAGGGATGTCAGTTGACCTACACAGCATGTTTTTCGACCGTGGTAGGACATAGAACTGACAAAATCCACACAAGAAATCCTAGCCCACCACCTGAATGCCATCAAGACCGATTCTGACCGCCTCGCCAATCTGCAGCCCCAAATTGAGAACGTGCTGTAGCAAATCATCAATTAAAGTTACGGAGAGGAAACGCGGAACCTCGGCGCGCGCTCCTGCCGTCCAGAACACCAGCCCAGCTGCCAGCGGGAACGCGCACGAGCGAGCGTCGTCGGGAACGAGCTCGGTTGTGCTGCGCTGTACTGCGGCTTGGAGAGCCAGCGAGAGGCTGATGAGAGAGAAATTAATGAGGGGGCTTCGCTGCGTTTAACCCCAACAGACTGAAAAATACAGGTTTTCCACAAACAAAGTGAACGAGGAGTAAGACGTCGTCGGAAGTCAAGGAAGGTCGCGCTCGCCGAAAGTCAGGTAGGGTGCCAATTGTTATTTTAGTTATTGCTTTGGAATATAGTGGGTCGGATGCTGCTGGATATTACGTGTGTGGGGATTTTCGGGCACAAACGTACAGCTGGAAACGATGAGATTATACACATCTAGGGCGGGGAATTTCGGCAAACATCTTGCTTGGCGGTTTGTAGAACCACAACAGATGCTAATCTCCTCTCGTCCCCAAGTGTTGGGATGTTCTGGGTGAACCGCGCTGCGGACCGCTGACTGCTGCGGCTGAGTTTTGCTGCTCTGCGCAAATTATAACCGGCCTCTGAAACCCAAGAAATATGAAGTCTTGTGCACTTAGCCTACACAGTCCCGACACCTTTATTTAACGACGGACTGTGTTGGACCAACAGCAGTGACTGACAACGCGGACAGGCTTGGAGAAACTGAACATTTCACGAGAGTAATGGTTTTGGCCGGTTGTTGCAGTTTAATAAGCACATAACACTGGGGCAAAATAAGTAAATGACTAAAACTGGTAAGCTTCTCTTAGAAGTCTTGATATTGTGTAAACTTTTGCTGCAAATTTATTTCAATGCTGTAATTCGAGGGGTGACCGCAGCGCTCTGTTTTGCAAACGCAGGTATCTATCAGCTGTAGATCCCGTAACTGAATGTCCGCCACGGTGCCTGCTTAAAAGATGAGGTCGGGGAAAAATAGGGTGTTTTTGAGCGTTTTTTTCATAGCTGATACGGCAAATTCTTTTATCTCCTGTGAACCTTGTAGACCTGCGGTGAAAGAGGAATCAAAGATTCTAGAACAAGTCCACAGTGACTCGCGACAGAGGTCTGGGATAGAGAAATCATATGACGAACTGGGGTGGTTTCCTCATCGCCTCATTCATCAGATCCCTGAAGCAAACCGTATCGGATCTTTCCAGGGCAAAGAGGTTATCCGCCTGGGCGGAAGACAGTCGATTAAAAATGGGGGCTCGTTTAATATTATTTTGGGGGTTGCAAACCAGGCCAGAAAGTATGCAGTATGTGCCTATTGCTTATATTCATACGTCTTTATAAGCCACTAATAACTCACCGGTCTGTTTAGGCATTAATCTGATGTTAATTCACTCGATTATGTCCTAGAGCGGCCATGCTGAATCGAAGGAATGATGCGTAAACACGAATTAAAAGTGCTTGTTACTTACTGTTAACTCTATTCTTTTATTGAAATAGTTCAAATCTATCTCCAACTCTTTTGATTAATTAAACAAACGAACCTGTGCCAAAGGGCTGGATAAGGATAGGGGTACTGAAGTGAAGACTCATACGGTGACTCTGCAGAGTCGGCGCTAGCATTTTGTTTTCTGAATTCTGTAAACCCTCACATAAACTATCAAATTAGTAAACAATGAATTAATCCAGAACAGCATCTCTGAAATAAACGAAATGTGCTGGGTTTGTGTGAAACACTTGGAAAGTGTCTCTCACTGTCCTTGGCCATCGAATGGCATTGAGCTGTGGTACCTTGTGTGTCCACGGTGACCAGCTTGACACTGCCTGTCTCTTGGGGGTCTTAAAATCATTTTGAGCCTTTCTGGACAAGCTTTAATGACCAGCAATGTGTTGACCTGTGATTGCTTACAGCAGGTATGGGAGAGAATGTGTTGGTGTTGATACTGGAGGACTTCCAGATGTACAGTATGTAGGCCACTGTTGAGTCCGCTGAGCTCAAAGGAGGACAAGCACAGGATCTGGGTAGCCTGCTCAGGTTGGAAAAAAGATAGTAAAACCTCTACCTTAACCCCAAGTGCTTAAAAAAAAGATGGGAATACATTGCTGGCTCAGCCGTGGACAGGCAGACTCTGTGCCTGTAACCTCCTCAAGCCAGCCAGCCTCTGAGTCTCCCAGGTTTTTTTCCATTTTTGTGGACACGTGGGGCTGGAATGGGAAAAAGGTTTAATTAATCTCCAGTATTAGTCATGGGTTTTATTATTACTCCTGTGTTTACAGGTGTGTTCTGTGACTTCACAATCAGCATTCCCTTTCTGTATTTTCATGGGTGTCTTCATGATACCTTCCAGGCTATGAGAGCTCTCTTCTCAGAGATAGAAGTTTCATACTGCACTTTTTCACTGCCACACTTTGATCTGTGGTGTTGATTCCTGCACATGGACTGGGGCATCACATGGCTCTTGAAAAACATCCTCCCAGTTCACTGCACTGGCTGTTCTGGTTTCAGGTACTGTAGCATGCTGCATCTCTGCTTTGGTGCTTGATTACTGGGGTGAATTGAGTTCACTGTCCGATGGTCTGGTGAGAGAATAACTTTTTCATATTGTGGTACTATAGGTGTGTGGAGTGGTGGAAAAGTCTGCTGAAACAATGCTTTTGGTGTGGTTTTGGATTAAAGTGCTGAGTTCAATACTGGGGGATGCTAATACTTTTTACTTCTGCTTCAAGATGATGCAGATGCAAGGGCAGCAGTGGTGTGCGTTTAGGCACCCTCTTTGTGGTGATTAGAATAGTGTGCTTTAACATTGCCGTGCCTGCGAGAATACATTGTTTACAATCCTGCTTTTTATGTGCCAGACTCTAATTTGGCAAATGGCTTGAGTACTCGACTTAAACAGTGACTCTAATAAATAGGTCACCAGATACACATGGCAAGTTGTATCTTTTGTGTGCTCTTCTTGTGATAATATGTAAGTGCAGTTAACAGACAGTGCACAAAACAAATGAAAGTGTAATTCTAGCTGCTGTTTGGGCTCAGTGCTCACAGAACTGAGAGCTTCTGTCTTCCAGGGACCTATTCTTCCTTGATAGGTATGCAGTATTCAGTGCAGCTGGGTGGGTAGCCCAGAATGTTAATGTGCCTTACAATTCTGCACATTTTCTCGCTTCAGCTTGTTGCAACCCATATGTCTGCTCTGTCGGTCATATTTTTTTTATCTGGGCACAGTCAGGTGATTGGTGGCCACAGAGGTGCTCTGCCAAGGTGGCACTGCAAGCAGCCCTTTTAGAATAGCAGGACTCTAATTAAAACGGCATTAGAAGAACCTGCTATTCTTCTCCAGGCCAGCTTGGCTTTGGGTTGAGAAGACTTTTCTGTTTTTAAATGGTTTAGAAGACATAAAATGCAAGGATGACGTTCTTAATTCCTGCCCATTGGACAAGGTTTTGGTTGTGAGTATTATGTATGGTTTAGCTTTGTTGTGTCTTAACGTGTATCTGTACCAAACAATTCTTATATTTAACATCTTTTAAAGCTTTCATGTTGCATATAAACCAGATTAGTTTCATCTTTGAATATGTATGATTAGAGACTATCTGTGGTATATTTACTTTCGCCTCTGGTCTCCCATGTTTTCACTGGACAGAGACCGCAGCACGGGTGAATAATTTAAATAAATGTTCTAAAATAAGTCCACCAAACGTGAAGTAGGACACCGCCTGGATCCCGAGTTAATGAATCGCTCCCAGCTGGCTGTGTGTGTTGAGATGTTTACTTCTTACCTTTTGCGTTCATCCTGACTTGACGTACTGTACTGTACACTAAGCCTGTACCTGCTCTTCTCAAGAGGTTTTGTTTTGCATCCTATTAATGATGGAGAACAACTCCCCACACTCCTAAACAAGGGAATTCTTCCCATCCCAGTGTTCTTGGCTTGACTCCATGAATCTTGTTGGGGAAATGACGGGGCCTTTAATTTAGACTCACAGTGAAACGCGGGGAGATCATTCTGGTGTCGGCTCAACCCACAGTGCCTGGAGTTTCAGACGTCAGTGACGGTATTCTCCCAAGTATGGGATGCTGCCATAAGGAGGATTCAGGCTGTCTGCAGGCCTGGCTGCTTATTGACAGGTGCCGTTTCTGTAGTAGTTTTAAGCTGAGGTCACACATACAGCTCTATATTAAGGAGTTAAGTGATCAGAAATTCCCTTTGCATTTTATGGGGATTTAAGTGCCTAAGGATTTTGAATGTAAGGCTTGTAGAGAATTCTTTGGGGGTGTGACTGTATCCCAGCATCATGACTCACACCAAAGCTGACATGTGGCAGAAGTAATGCATAACTTCCTGTGACAGTGATTGTCTCCTTCATGGGTAGTTCATCAAAAGGAGATTTCCCTTCCTTGCCTGGCCTGTTGTGCTTTGTTTGTGCGGGAGAATTTTACTGCCATGAAAATGGAGTCTGAAACTTTTCTGAGCTCCTGGTAAGATGTTGGAGTCGTTGGATGTGTCTTCTCACCAACCAGATCAGAAGAGACCCTAGAGCTTTTAAGAACATCTTTTAGACTGTAGAATGTGGGTCTTCGAACTGAGAGACTGATGTGTAAGACAGCATATAGTATATAGTGGGCACAGAGCTGAGAGCAAGAGGACAGGATGGATAGTGGTGCATAAAAGAAGAAAATACTTTGGCGTCAGAGTAGATTTTAGCGCAGATGCATCTGCCTCTTGTGCACCTTCTGTTTCCACTGAAGGGCAGGCTGTTCCTGAGAGCTCCCAGGTGCATCCAATTTTTAAGATGAAACACCAAATTTGTGTTCACTGTTTTAAAAGACTGCCCTGATTAAAAGGACAATTTCATCCTCTTTTCATGTGATGGACTGAGGACTTTGAAAAGTTTTTTTTTTCTCTGCTTTGTTTTCCCATAATGTTCCAACTTTTCATATGTGTCACTATAGGGAGAATATCACAGTGACATTTACGTGATCTCCCTCTCTATACTTACTTTGAAGTTTGGTTGTCCAGCCTTGTCTTTCATGTGGGGATAATGAAGTAAAATACAAACCACTGACTGTGTTATTTTGCTCTTATTCAGACCTGTTTTTATGGGCATCTTCAAAGTCTCTTTAAAGCAAATACTCTTTTTATTGAAAATGACAATACACAATGTTATGGATTTCTGCAATTGTAGTCTTTCAATCCTGACTTTGAAATTCTTTTTATGTTTTTTTTTTCACTCCTTCAGCAATAATGACATCAGTTGTTAATTATAATCAGGTTTTGTTAACGGAAGTTAGGTCTCCTGTAACAGGCAAGAGTATATTTTTGTATGCCAATAATTCAAGGTTTTGTAACGGGAAGTCTCAAAAACCACTTTCCTGTATTATACTCCCTGTGTTCTTTCAATGTGTAAATATATAATTTACTAATTAATAACTTAAATGGCTAACAGTTTTTGAAGCTCATGTTGGAAGACTGATGTAAAAGTGTTATTTGGGGAAGAAATAATGGGTCGTGTACATAATATTATTGAAGAATTAAGCAGTCCTTCAGTAAAGTCAGACAGCACGCTGAGGCACAGCTTCACCACAGGGTGAAAAATATCTAAAGTAGTCAAAGGAATTGATTAACATTTTTTTTATTTTTGAGCAGCTGTCCAGATGGCAGAGATGACCCCCGGAGACCGGATCTCTCTGTAGGCCAGTGTGAGATTTAACACGCAACCCTGTGGTGCATCTGTAATAAAAATTCCAACTTCTATTCATTTTGTGGACAAAATTTACGTATTGAAGGTTGGATCGGAGATCTGA